AACGAAAAATCAACAAGGGTTATGTTGGAATGGTAACTACTCTTTCATCCTTAATCGGAGGTCTCAAGTTCAAATCCTCTTCATTATGAAATCGCCTTTGCTAGGGATCGGAGCTTTAGTCTTGGAATTCCAATTCATAATGAGCATCTATAAATAAAAGTTGTTCGTGGATCAGTTACATTTACAACACTTCCACATGTGCGAGCCTCGTTTATTATTCCTTGGACCAAGATGGACTAAAGGAAAGCTTAACTTGGATTTCTACATTAGGGAAGAAAATTAGTCACTATTTGAGATCAGGTTAGGTTGTCTGCATCACATCACTTGGGGTGCAGTCTTCTCTGTTCCCCGCTAACACGGATGCTTTGTGCACCGGGTTGCCTTTCTATAATAGGATTGAACTTTAAATTAGCTAAAACACAATCTGACTATATATAAAAGCTCATATTTTATCTTTTTGTTTGGCCAAAGCACATTTTCTTTATGTTTGAAAACTTGTCTGTTATCATTGATTGAATTAGACTAAATCATGATCTTATTGCAGGTACAAGCCCTATGCTATAAAAGGAGATATGGATTCAATCAGAACTGATGTTCTTGATTATTACAGAGGCCTGGTAAGCCAGAATTTTCTTATGGTGGTCCTACAGTTGCTCAACAAATTTCTTTTGAAATGGGATATTTTTTTTAAGAAAATTGTGTAGGGATAAGTTTAAAATTTAGAGAACATTAGTTTTAGAGAAACCATAGTTTGCCTTAAAGGACAAATTATTTAGTATTGAAACTAAATGGAGCCTGAATTGTGTGGCCGAAAGGATACAGATGATTGATGTGGCGACCTAGTTAATTGAGATATATTTCAAAATTTGTCCCTTAAGACTACTTTAATTGAATCATCACTCTGGGTTAAATGCTTGCCTCCAGGGAGGATCTCAAAGAATTTGATGTTAAAAATTGCCTTGTATCTTTTTAGAGAAAGGTAACATGGTGAGTCTTTTTTCCATGTGGTGGCTCAAATTGGATACATTATGGAGTGGGACATCATGTGACGGGTTACTAGTGTATGATGTGTTAAGGGCTTATGTAATAACAAAATGAAAAACTTTGCTAAATTGTGTGCCAGAGTGAGAAACTTGCTTACAGCACAGTGAGCTCTGCAAATATATTCTTCAGTCTGGTAGAGAGAGGCCTACTTTGTTAACACCATGAAGTTCCCAAATTTATTGTTGAGTTCAAGCTTTTGAGCTGCATAACGACCATTGTTACACTTTTAGATACTAGTTTTTGTGTGAGTATTACATCAAATGTATGTGCTCTTTTCTAAATGTCTTTCTAGCCTATTTAACAATTATACATGTGCATTTTTCTCATTTTGAATCATGTTAAAACTCCAATTTTGGGGATGATTAGTTAGCTGTCTACATTTGTGTTTCATTTTCCAGCATTTCATTACAAAGCATGTTTGAACCGTATTTTGAAGATCTACCGATTTGGGAAAAACCATATTTTGAAGATTTGCTTGCTAACCACATGCAGGGAACCAAGATAATTGATGAATCTCAAGATCAAGATACTACAGATCTTAATAAATGCGTTACATATATTCGTGACTCACTAAACTCGGAACATCCAAATGTAAGTTAAGCCTTGCAGCATAGCTCTGGAAATTTTTAACCTTTTTCTATTCGCTATAAATATGTGGTATTTCTAGTTTACATCTGTTAAAAATGTCATTTCACTATATAGTTTCTCGACCAATATCTCCATCATCAACCCTTGTGGATATTTGTGATCTAATTCTTCTGCAGTTATATTTACTCCAAATAATTAAGATATTATTCTTTTTAGAATGGATGCTTGAAATAGTAAAAATTTTGAGCTTTGCCCTAAATGGTTCTGGATCATCATGCACTGTCAAATTTTGGAGTTGACACATTGGGTTTTGGTGATATACATTTTAAAGTATGGCAGTCATTAAAACATGAAACTGTATTAAATGGTGCAATATGTATTATATATTTTTAAGAATAAATGGAGCAGTATATTTTGTTGTCTTTTTATTATTATTTTGAGTTCATCACTGCATCTATTGACATTGAAAAAAAACGATTATTGTGAAGCTTAAAAGTCTGATGCAGTATTACAAGACAACATATTGACTTGAATATAGGCTTCCATCACTGGAAAGAACGTCCTAATAGAGTTTCAGTGGGATTAACTTTATCTCTGTGTAATTACAGTTGTGTATTCTAGTCACTGGAGCACTTGGGGGAAGATTTGACCATGAGATGGGAAATATTAATGTCATATGCTGTTTCCCCTCCATGCGGATTATTCTTCTCTCTGATGATAGTCTAATCCAACTTCTTCCAAGTAAGCATCATCACAAGATTCATATACAATCCTTAGTTGAGGGCCCACATTGCGGACTCATACCCATTGGAATGGTTGCCGGAAGAACCAGTACTACGGGTCTCCAATGGAATCTTGGTGAGTAGCTCAATCTACTTTTTCCATACAAAATTTTATGTGGGGTTTAGATGCTACCTACTTTATTTTGTTATGGGCTAATGCTTTATGCCAAGGACATCTCTGTTTAGCTATTGGTTCATTTACAAGAAGGATACAATTCTCGCCAGATAGCCAATGCTAACATTTTTTCTGGTAACCAACTTTAGTTTCATTACCTAAGTGATGCTTTACAAACCATCTGAAGGGAGAGTACTTGTTGGACACAGTCCCCCTCAAGTACTCCGTCAAAAATACACAAGCTAACATCAAGAGCAAATAGAGTCAATTATAACTACCAGAGCCTATAATAACAAGTCATAGGCAGCTATGGATAAACGTTGTGATCTGTCAACCATCCTCCAAGCTTTGCAACTTTCCTGCTTTAATATGGATTTCATGTATCACTTTCTTGATCATCATTGTTGTGGACTGTGTTCTTGTTTACGAAAATCCCTGAGTTCCTTTCTCTCCATAAAATATAAACTCCTGCAGCCAGCATCATCCTGTATTATCTCTGCTTTGTGACTTCTGCCTTTTGCATATGCTTCAGCTCAAAGTAATTCTTCATTCCACCCCATGGTGCCTCTGCCAATCCATATTAAGAGTTTTTCCATACCTGAGTTGATATTATTCAAGCAAAGAACAGGTGGTTTATACTCATTTTCCAGCTCACACAGTGCACATTGTGGTTGTGTTGTCAACTCCCCATTTAAAGAATTTATCTCTTGTGTTCAGCCTTCCCAAGGCAGCCAGTTCGAGTATGAAGATCCATCTAGGTAGCCCTAAATTTTTACGCTCCGTCTTCCTCCAAGTTACTTTGTGGAATTGCCCTCTAAGTCTCAACCACATTTACTTGATTGAGAAGGAGAGTGCATCTGCAATATCTCAGCAGCCACAAAATATCTACTAGCCTTCAGAATATTTTGAATAATCCAAGAAGCTTCTTAGGTACCTCATCAAAAATATTCCTGTTTCTCCCATAATAACAATAAAACCATTTGACCCATAGTCGATGTCGTTGTACTTGTGATTATCTAGTTTAAATGCTTGACTCTGATATACCTTTACTTTACTTTTGTTCAGATAATACCGAAATGAGATTTGGTGGCTTAGTCAGTACATCAAATATCGTGAAAGAAAACATAGTTACAGTGCAATCTGATTCGGACCTCCTATGGACAATTTCTATCAAAAAAGATTGAATGATGCAGTTTTTGCAGATGAAATGATTGAGAGACAATCAACGAAACTTTGTTGAACGCGAACCTCCATTTTCTGAAACAATGGGGTTATTCTTTACTACTTTTTTTTTTTCTGTAGGAAAAAAGCATCCCTTTAGTCTATCTTTGTGAGGCACAAGCAGATCTATTTGACATCAGGTGCCTGCATTGCAGTAAAGGAAAAAAAAATAACACAGGGGCTACGAGTGAGAGTAAGCTCATTGCGGGTTAACTTTGATCGTCAACTTTTGCTTATGTGCTGTAGGAATTTAGTAGCACGTTTTCTAATGTTTTGCATACGTTATTCTTTATCCAATGTAATGAAATAAGGAAATTTTACTATTAATTTGAATTATTAGATAGCCATTATTGTACTTCCCCTGTCAAAAATTTAACATTTCGCAGTGATACAGTAGTGTAATACTATGTCTGCAGTTGGTTGGTTAATACGTAAGATTTCAATATAAATGATAACAACTGTTCACTCCTTCACTCGTTTACGTTTAACTTGCTGCATCAACCGCAACGTAGAGGTTATCTTTCGAAAGATTGTTAGTAATTGCGTTTATACATCTGCCTGACCCATGTATATCAGCACGCATAAGAAATTACAAATCTATTGTAATCCCACGAATAGGCCTCGAGAAGATAGTATATGTGCAATTTTATCGACTATGCTCTCGTTTCAAATAGGATTTTGGCTCTATAGTGTCGTTGCAAACAAATGATGGGACACTCTCATTTATTGAACCATGACCGGTCACCAATTGTTTATAGATCCCTAGCTGAACAAATAACATGCTTAAGAGAAAAGACTAAATAAAGGATTCTTCTTCTTGACTTCAAGTTCCAAACCTTACCAACATAGGACGTGGACCAGTGGTGCTGGTTGAAGTGTTTTATCTTTAATCAGAGATCTCGAATTCGAACCTGGTATGGAGAAATTCTGTTGGGAGCGTCACCCCTGAAGAACCCTACAGTGCGATTCAAATTTAGTCGGAACTCTAATGTAGGCTCCAAACACCCAGAGGCGGAGCTAGATGTGGGTTCATGGGTTCAGACGAATCCACTAAATTTTTTTTTGTAAACTTTGTATTTGAAAATTAAATAAATATATGTATATTAACATGAAAAACCACAAAACAAAATCGATTAAGGACCCCTAAATTTCTAACCCTGGCTCCGCCTCTACGGACACCGATGGGAACCAAAAAAAATAAAAAGAGTCCTAACTTTGTGGCGTCGCCCGGACTCGAACCGGAGACCTTCAGTGTGTTAGACTGACGTGATAACCAACTACACCACGACACCGCTGTGTCCATTTCGCTCCCAACTAATCACCTATATCGCCAAAGCCGGTATTATTTTGGCGGCAAGCAAGTGATTTTTCTGAAATCTGAACAGCAATCGAATTGAAACCAATAGGGTTTTCGTTTTTTTGTCACAGTGAATCTTCTTGTTTTGTTGAAGCTCCACTAGCCCACATGAATCACTGAATTTCTCAGCATGAAGTAGTAAACTTGATATCTTACAGTTACCGGCATTGCCCCTACAATCAAGCGAGCGCCATTGAAATGGACGGAGCAGCAGCAGCTTCTTCACCGTCGACTATTAAACCCATAAACAAGAGCGTAGTCCATAGAATTTGTGCGGGTCAAGTTATTCTGGACCTTCCCTCTGCCGTCAAGGAATTGGTTGAAAATAGCTTGGACGCCGGAGCTACCAGCATCGAAGTCTCCCTCAAAGACTATGGTTCTGAATCCTTCCAGGTCATTGATAACGGTTGTGGCATCTCGCCTCAAAATTTCAAGGTCTTTTCCTCTTCTGTTTTCTGCTCACTTTCTTTCTGGATGCAAAAAGTTGCTGCATGTAGGACAATAACTATTAGTTGAGTGATCGAGTCTAAGTCTTATTGTTAATTGTTGTAAGTGAAGAAGCTAGTGATATTGTGTCTCTGTTTCGAGCTTTCCATATATGTTTTTGTATGTGTATGTGTAATATGTATGCACAGACAGACACGCACTTATACATGTGTAAAGGGTTTGTAGTCTTTCTCTATACTACTTTCTGTTTTCAATCAAAGTTGCGTCAATGTGTATATAAATGTGTTGATGTGCACATGCGCGTGCACCTGTACTCTAATCTCTATTTTCAATCAAGGTTGTTTCTGCTATGATGTAGTTCCACTTGATGCTAATTTCCACTGTTTATTTATGTTTCTTCGTTTCTGTTGATTAACTTCACTAGTTGTTGTGTCCATAGTAAATTGAGCTAATTTGATACTAAGTGTGTGGATGTTTTTGTATTGAAGGTATTGGCGCTAAAACATCATACCTCAAAACTATCAGATTTTCCTGATCTTCAGTCATTAGTGACTTTTGGATTTAGAGGGGAGGCATTGAGTTCACTTTGTGCTTTAGGGGATTTGACAGTTGAAACAAGAACAAAGAATGAGCAAATTGCGACACACTTGACTTTTGATCATTCGGGCCTTCTGATAGCTGAAAGGAACATAGCTCGCCAAGTTGGTACCACTGTCACTGTTAAGAAGTTGTTCTCCACTTTACCAGTGAGAAGTAAAGAATTCCACCGCAATATCCGGAAGGAATATGGAAAGCTTATCACATTGCTGAATGTATGATCCCTTTAATCTGTATTATCTTACTCTTGTTTGGCTATTGATTTCTTAGGATGGTTTTATTTTAATGAAACTTAAGAATTGAGATGGGAATGTCAACTGGTGCCGTCAAATCTATAGGGTCTTCGTGATGGTATAATCCAATTCAGTTCAAGTTGGTTTGAACTTCAAGCATCAATTTTTGTTACAGTAGCTATCTTGTTCTTTGTCCTTTTGGAGGAAGTTGTTTCCTAATTTTAGAAATTTGTCGACTACTATTAAGAAAGAGGTAAAAATGAGAATTTCTTCACCATATTGAAATTTTCATTTTAAGATTCTACTTGGAGTATCTCGGCTATGAATTATCGCCTAAAAGACACTGTTGCAGATGAATTTGTATGTCTAGCAGTTATGCTGTGTTGGTGCTGTAATATCTTCTGGAGATCCTTTAATATCTGCTAAATTCATTTTTTATTCAAATGGAAAAGCTTAAAGTAAGTTGGAAACCAGCTGAAAGAATTTGAGCCCCTTTATGAACTCAAGCATTACAAGGGGTAAGAAATACAAAAGCTTCCCAGGAAATTGAAGTTCCTATCTAAATTGAAGATTGCACAAATTGTGGAGCAATATGTAGAGACTCATACTTTTGTGTAGGCTATCCACTTTTTCTTTGGGTATACTTCTTGTATAGGGGAGATTTCTCTCTTTAGTGAAATCGATTAACTTCATCAAAAAATCTTTTTGCTTCTGGTGATTGTGAATTTCATTGTGCTATAGTTTGGTGACCTTTCATGTTAGACTGCTTAATAATTTGTTCTTGTCAAGGTTCTTAATCTTGAGAGAGTATGTGCATGGTTTCTGCTGAAGAAGTATTTTAATGCTTTTGTTGTTTAAGTTATTTATTTGCTTTCTTTTGTTGGTTGAACTTCTAGGCCTATGCTCTTATTTCTAAGGGAGTCAGACTAGTTTGTACCAACTCAGCTCTAAAAAATGCAAAATCTGTAGTTCTGAAGACTCAGGGAAGTGGATCTCTGAAAGATAACATTATAACAGTATTTGGTATGAGTACCTTCACTTGTCTGGAGCCTCTGGAAGTGTGTATGTCTGATGATTGCACTGTTGAAGGATTCATTTCCAAGTCTGGCTATGGTAGTGGACGCAACTTAGGAGATCGACAATATTTTTTTGTGAATGGACGACCGGTGGATATGCCAAAAGTTGGCAAGCTTATCAATGAATTATATAGAGGTGCAAACTCTCGGCAATATCCCATTGCAATCATGAATTTTGCGATGCCACCAAGAGAATTTGATGTCAATGTAACTCCTGATAAAAGAAAAATATTTTTGTCTGACGAAGGTTCCATATTGCACTCTTTGAGAGAAGCTTTAGAAAAGATATATTCATCTAATCATGCTAGTTATGCTGTTAATAGTATCCAAGAGGTTGACCAAAAACATACATCCACTCTTTCCCATCTTAAGGCCTTTCAGTTTCAATCCAAGCAATTACTGTCGGATATTAATGATGATCAGGAAGGTGACTGCGTTGGGAAACTACATAAAGAGGGTCATTTTCTAAAAAAATCTCAGGAATTAAATGATATGCCTGTCACAGAAATTATGCTAAATGATGGACACAGGTCAACAGAGAAAGACTTCAGTCTTCGATTCCATGGAAAGAAAAAAGACAATAACAGTTCCAGAAGTTCCCTGCAAGAGATTGGTGGTCTGCCTACTGCTATAACCGATAGAAATGCACTCACCCCATGCTCAAAAGATAAAAGTTGTATTGATAATTCACGTTACGTCAATTGTGCAAGCATTGTCCAGTCATCACTCACCAAATTTGTTACGGTAAATAAGAGAAAGCACGAGAGTATGAGTACTACATTATCTGAGGTACCTATCCTGAGAAATGGATCAACTGTCCACCCATCAGAAGAAGACCATACTTTGAAGAATACTGCATCTTTAAGATCTCCAGATAATCCAGTTAAGGCTGATAAGTGTGATGAAGTGACCATTAGTGAGTCTGGATCTTCCAAGATCTCAAAGATAGACAGATTTCTTCATCAAATGAAGCACTCAAGAATGGGTAAAGTCCTTGATCAAACAAATGATTTTTCTCCACCTGGAAATAGTATACAAATTGGAACATCTGAACAGGTAAGAAAATTTAATAAGAATCACTTTTCTGAACGGTTCTACTCTCCTTGCTTTGTTGTTCAGTTGAATTTGATTAGGAATGATAGTTGCCACAGAAAATTTCAATTCGTTCTCTATACTATTTTGGTCAGTCCTTTTAGGTTTGAACCATTTCATTTTCAGGAGCATGAAGTTCAAATGAATGAATTATGTGTTACTGAACCAGTGCCTCTTGATTCTACTTGCAACAACATCCATGATGTGTCAGAAAATAGGGTAGATGCTTCTTCGTCTGAACAGCCTGCTAGTCTGACTCTGGATGATGCTCCTAAAGCTTCATCTAATTCGAAGATTGCTTCAACATTGCAATTTAGTGTGAAAGAACTTGTATCAAGAAGGAACCAGAGGCTGTCAAGATTGCAACTCCTTAATCATACATCTCAAACAATGAAAACAAAGAGGTACAATGTGGTAATTTCTATTGGCTTGGCAGAAAGAATTTTTGGTCTTTAAATTAGTTAATAAAAGTTCTTTAATGGTTTCTGAAGGGATTATGCTGCAGCAACCCTGGAGCTCTCCGGATCAGAAAATGAAGAGGCGAAGGCAAGGGCATTGATTGATGCTACCAATGAGTTGGAGAGACTTTTCAAGAAAGAAGATTTTACTAGAATGAAGGTCCAAATTCGTCCATTTATTAGCATTCCAAATCAAACCTGTATTATGATTTTGATTTGCCAATAATTTTATTTCCTGATTCTGGCTGGAAGATAAAGATTTTCTTAGGATCTCCTTGGGGATTCTTTTCTTTTATCCTTACCCCTGTCTTAATAGACCTCGTCTCTAATTCAAAAAATTTAGTTTTCTGATTTTTGTTTGATGTGAGTGTTACTCTTAGATTGTCTGTAGTTGGTTTGGTTGAGGATCTTGTGGTACTGGAGATGTTCCGATGCTTCATTACCTTTTTCCAGCCAACAACACTTATAAACTCCCAGTGAAATTCTTAGCATTCTTTGGTCCCAAATTGAATTTGTCCACCTACTTCTGTCTGATATATAATGACATCTACTTCTTTAAAGGTGCACTTTAATTGTACCCTATATACCCACTTCTTTTTTGGGAGATGCCTTATAAATCCGCTTCTCCGCTTCTTAATGCAACTCTTTCTTCTCTTTTATGAAGTTCAGTCTGAACATGTTACTCATTTTAACTCTTGATAATACTCATTCTCAGCTATTCTTTTGAGACTATCCAATTCATGACATGACAGGAGTCACTATTTGCATTTTGATTCTTTTAACTGCAGCATTTTTATGTTCTCTTCTTTCCTCTCCTTACACCATGAAATCTTAGCATTCTGACTTAAAATATTGTTGCAGATTCTTTAGTCCATAATAAATGATCTTTTTCGTCCTCTCTTGGATATGCCGATATAAAACCCACTCTTTTAAACTTCTGAGTATTTCCAGAGTTGAATTTGTGCTATACATCTGCAATATGTGAGTTTATTTGTATGCTATTCTGTTGTCATACTTCTAATGCTAAATTTAGTCAAGCACTAGTTTATTTACATGCAATTGGTAATTGCTTCTTGTCCATGTTTAGTTTTGTCATCAGCAGTTTCAGCAGAAATGCAGAGTTGGTATGGAGGAAAGTGTTTTTCAATTTTCTTATGTTTCATCGGTCAAAAATTTGGAAACATTTTTCTCTGGGAAAATAAGTTTCTTAAAAATGAGGAAAATGACTTCCCTAGTGGAAGCAGGGAAAGCATTCCATAAGTGCCATTCCACACTATTTACGAATATCCACCCTCTAGAACACCCCACCCGCAACCCCATAGTTCCCATCCCAACCACCCCTAGCCTCTCATGCCAATACCAATAGTGTTTGCCTAAATTTTACACAACTGCTTTTGCAATAATGTTTTTCTGCCTATTTATCAAACACAAGAAAATAAGTAAGAATTCCACTTACTTTCCAGGAAAACGATTTACTTAACAAACACACTCCTAGTATCAGGTTTCGAAAATTCTCAACTTCTATTTTGGTTCTGCAGGTGATCGGGCAATTCAATCTTGGATTCATTATAGGCAGGTTGGATCAAGACCTTTTTATTGTTGATCAGGTATTATTCCTTTGTTTTTGTGTACTGATCTGTCTGTAGTCAATAGTAAACTAATCTTTCATTTTATTTTGGTTTTTGAAAGTTGCTTATGTGATTTGCATTTCTCTCTCTCTTCTTTCTTCATTTTTCTTTGGTTGGTCAGCATGCGGCAGACGAGAAATATAATTTTGAGCGCCTGTCACAATCAACTATCTTGAATCAGCAACCTTTACTTCGGTGAGGGTCTTCATTCTCCTGCTATGAGTTTTATCCAAGATTTTTTGAATTTATTATGTACTGCAAATTAGCTGGAAAGTGAAATGTTTTTGATAAGGTAAATTGATACTGATGTTATTTAACTCGTTCAAAAGAATAAAGGGAATACCTTCTCTTTTTCCTTCTAATTTAGTTGTTTACAGTGGAAAAGAGTAACATAACTGTTAAAAGCAAGGATTAGGAGAAGACTTTAGTTTTGTGCCTTTAACATGTGTTAGGTTTCTTTATTGATTTATATGGGATTTGAGCTATTTTTACTTAGTGACTGAACCATTTTTCATGTCAAATCCCATCTTGACTTTAGAGTAGTTGTTATAGATTTGAGTTGGTGCAGCAAGTGCTGAATGATTTTATGATTATCTCGGCTTTTACCTTTCTCCTGTAGCGTGGGGGAAGTGATGAGATGTTAAAACCAAGAAAAGCTAAGAGATTATTAAAATTCTCTTCCTGGTGCCAAATGACTAGAGACTGATTCTGTTGATGTATGTCTTAAATTGGCCCACCTAGATGCTAGGTCAAAATTAAAGTCATTGCGATTCAATGTTCTCCATATTTATCTAAGACGAGAACTTAAGACTTAACTGGTCCTATTTTATATCATCTAAAAATGATAAAAGAGCATTTCAATTGGCCTCTCAAAATTGAGTACATATCCTTCAATTTCATTTTGGAAGGAAGGCCCTAGACTCTCAAAATTAATGCATGATAATTAATTCTTGTGATTACAGCACCCTTATCTTTCTCCCATATCAGGTGTTTTCTCCTTCTGGCGACATGGGTTAGTTGTGGGTATAAATAATATCAGTTATCTATGAAGGTGTGAGGCTATATAACATTGCAGAATTGTTGTGGATTAGACGACTATTGTTAGGTAGACACATTTCAGAATTTTTGTGCATTTTGCTATTGTTATTGTAAACATATTTAATGAACCAAAAACGTGGAAAATTGAAGGGTTGATGGAAGTTATAATATATCTCTTCTGCATTGTGTGAGAATTTTATTCCTGGCTTTAATTTTTTATTTTCTTTCTTAAATTTAGGCCCTTGAAGTTGGAACTATCTCCTGAAGAAGAAATAGTTATTTCCATCCACAATGATACTTTCAGGTGCTTGAGAATCCTTTTTGTTCTTGTTTATTGTGAGTTCTTATTGGCATTTTTTTATCCATTTGGTTTTGTTTCTTCATGAACGATCTGAAGTATGCTTATGTTCAACTTATGAGGTTAAGATGACATACTTTCAACCTTTGCATGTTTTTCTTAACCTTATCGATCTATTTGGGAAGTCATAACCATGACTACACTGATTCTTAAGCCGATCAATTAGTTGTCCGAGTTAAGTAGTCCTTTACTTTCTATGATAATTAGTTGTCTGATGTTATGATTATCGTTTCTTCCCCTTCTTTGTACCCTTCACTCATATTAATCCACTTTTGAGATGTCTTCTGTCTTCACTCTTTCACCAAAGTAGTACATAAAATGTGAAGAATTTGGAGAACTGTACTTTTTGGTTCTTTTTCTATATTATAGATTTAACTTCATTGTTTTTTCTGTTATCATGCCGTGAAAGTAAGAAATGAGATAGCTTCCCCTCTTCTGCCTTAGTGCCCCTATACCAGTTTTGTAACCCCTAGCTAGTCTGTCCTCCTCAGCCCTTACAGATAGATCCCTGTGTTCTAGACCTCATCAACCCCCACCCCCTCCCCTAGCCCCCCTGCAATTGCCCTCCCCTAGGAAAAATTGAGCTATGACTACTCTCCGAACTCCCAGATTCCACCATCTTAAGTTCTTAACATTGGAAAAGCAATAGGAAGTAAAATCCTGTATACTCTCCAGTCTCCATGGTGAACAAGGAAACCAAAGAAAAGGAGAACGGAACATTTCAAATGAGAAAAGAAGTAAAAAAAGGTCTGTTATGGTTTTTAATGAAATAGAGGTGCCAAAAACAAATAAACAGGTTCTTTATCGCTTAACCAATTACTTTGACAACAAAATAAAATTAGCTAATAGCAGCCAAGTGCAGTCTACAAAAACATCTTGGCGTTTTGCACTTCTGTTTGATGAACTACTAATCCTTATTAGCTTCAAACTATTTGGTACCATGTATACTATTTTAGATTGGTGACAATATCATTTCTATCTTTGGCTTCACAGGAGAAATGGATTTCTCTTGGAAGAGGATCCGTGTGCTCCTCCAGGGCATCGTTTTAAGCTAAAAGCAGTTCCCTTCAGCAAAAATATAACTTTTGGAATTGCAGGTAATCAATCACTCAGATGCATTCCATATTTCTACTAACTTGAAGGTCCATAGGACATAGGTCATTGTTTCATCCTTGGGTCCTACTTCAGAAAATGACCACACAAGTTGCCAATCGTTGATTCAGATCATCTACAAGTTGGTAGTTAGAGTAGGGATATCAGATCTGAACGTGATAAGATAGCTAGAGAAGAGCCTCATAGAAAAATAACTAAAGTGAGAACTTCATTATGTGGAATGCGCTTTGCATTACTGGACAAATTTCCCTTTGGTCATTCTATTGGCAGTTAGTTAGGCCTGATGTGAACTACAGAATGTAAGGGGGGATAAGTCGTGTTAACTCTTGCATCTAGGAACTTTGACTCATATTTTCTTTTTGCTTTGCAGATATGAAAGAACTCATTTCCATTCTTGCCGATAGTGAGGAAGAATGTTCCATAATGGGTGCTTATAGGAATGATACAGCTGATTCATTATGTCCTCCTAGAGTTCGTGCAATGTTGGCATCACGTGCCTGCAAATCATCTGTTGTTATTGGAGATCCACTTGGGAGAAATGAGATGCAAAAGGTATTTTTTTGTTCATTTTACTGTGTTCTTGGATGTATATTCATATTGTGGATGCATGTTCATCAACTATGTCACAGATATATTTCTTTTTAAATCTTCTGCTGCCTCTGGCTTGCTTTATGATCCGAGTTTCATTGTTTCAGATACTTGATAATCTCTCGCGCCTCAAGTCTCCATGGAATTGTCCACATGGTAGACCAACAATGCGTCACTTGGTTGATCTGAGGACTGTACATAGAAGATTAGAAGCGGATGATACCACCTTATGAACTCCAGTTGACAGCATCACCTAGCTAATCGAAGCAGGAACCTTCTTTCTGTAAATTATTAAACACCTGTACATTGAAATTGCGTTTTGTCTATGGAATTAGAATTATCTAAATGGCAAGGAATCAAATTAAAAATACATGAAGGTTATCTCTTGATAACACTTGCTTTTTTTTTTTTTGTTGCATTAACTGTCTTTCTTTTTGTTTTGGGAGGTGGAGAAAAGGACACTGGCTTCTGGGTGACTATGTGTGCTATGCTCTCACCCCTCCTTCCATCCGCGACATAGTGCAGAAGGTAAAAAGTTTTTTTCAAAGTTTGGTATTGTTATAACAATTTTTAATCAAAGTTGAGGTATATTTCAGACATATTTCCTCATTTCAAATGAAGCAAACCTGACAAATAAATTTAAGACACAACACTGATATAAGAGACGAAGACAATATGAAGTAACTAATAAATAATATACAACATAATCTTTCCATCCAAAGGAAAAATTGTTAGTACGGGGAATGTCTGCCCTTTCGGCGAGTCTTGTCTGATTTCAAAGCAAGAGTAGAGATCCATGATTGGCTTGTACTAGAACCATCAGACAACCAACAACAAAGACGACCATCTTCACCACCAGTCCATCCAAAGATCCCGTGGTTATCCATGGTCTGACCTGGTACCCCAGACAAGACACTCCTAATGATGCCTTCATGTCCACCGCATAAAATTGCTTCTGGAGGACCAATAGCTCGTGTCTCTTTATAAGTTACAGGGAAATAGCCCAACGAACCACCATTCGTACCACCAATTACCCAGAGACGATCTTCCTCCACTGAATAGTGGCAATCAATGAAATAGTCAACCTGCCATCAGAGTTTAAGCCGGAGTAGTCAGTTTATGCTCTAACTCAGAATTATTGCCTTAAATAGCACTGCTCCTCAAATACAACAGAACATTGCAGTTGCCAAGTACGAAGAACTGCAAACTGGGAGTAGTTCGTCTTCTTTTTGTACCATACATGTCATATATCTATAACAAAAACAGATAATACATTCACTGCATAAAGAAAATGAATAGGTGTAGAGTCACATACGTTGTCTGCCATCCAGCTCTTAGAGGCCAAGGATCTAGCATCCTCAAAACTGGCCTCGGTTTTTTCTTCTTTCCAGTCCCAGACACTGCACCGGAATAAGGAGTAAAAAAAAGGTGAGGGTTTCAGATTTTTCCTCAGAAAGTAGGAAAAAAATAGCTTAGATTGTGTTCAGAGATGGTGAGATTCACCAACTGTGCTAAAAGGACCAAAAATTTAGCATAAAAGACAAATCAGTATGGAGCATATTAGGCTGATATGGATATTATAAAACCTTAAAGTTTCAATGTGTGTCAAACACCAAAGCTTCTGATTCTTCTCTCCAAGAAATCCCACTTTTCCAATAGAGGTTCCCACATTGAGTACCTGCAATTACATCTTGGTATAAGTAGCATACAATCAAAAAGAACAGAAATCTACTTAACGGTAGATAGAAATATGAAAACACTGGAGTGCTCATCAATCAATTAAACTGCAATATGCCAGGCTTTTTAGTCAAAGTTTAGCTAAACATCTACACTGTACTGATGTCAGAACTAGCAACTTCAGAAGTAAAGAAAAAAAAAATTCAAAATCATCTTGAGAACTGAGAAGAAGACGAGGTGTCATATACTGCATGGATGGAGGTCATGTTCTCATAACAAGAGATGCACAAAAAATTTACAACTAGAATACACATGAGCTACCTTTTTGTCTTTTGAGTACAAGTTAACTGAGATCATTAAAAGTTTCAGTAGCAATCTGATATATCTCTATAGATATAGCAGCGTGAGTTTTAGTAAAAAGCATAACAGTATGAAAAGACATACTATTGAGTCTTTTCCACCTTAAGTGATCAGTGAGACTGCACCTTCTCAAAAGTTCTTGTAGTTATAATTTTTAAATGAAATAAACAGAAAATATGGACTGCAAAAATTCTTTTTGACATACCGATACCATTTGATCATCATCGTTGATATCTCCACCAGTATCAAATAGACACATTAATCCATCAACTGATCCAGAAATGAGTCTATCATCATAGCCTGGAATAAAGTGCACCTAAAAGTAACAAGCAACAAAAGAGACTTGAAGATACCATATTGCAGTATTTCTGAACACCAAAAAAAAAAAAGACAAAAGACTTTGAAAGGGTGCGCATTTGGTAATCATTAAAAGCATAAAGAACTTTGCATCGCAACTAGGTCAGTCATTACTTTGTCTCCTCTTGCTCAGATATAGTTAAGGAAACATGAAATAAACACCACAATCTCATCTCTGAATGGTATAGGAGCAGTAATCAGATGACTGAAAACCATAGCAGGTTCAGCACAACATCCAACTACTTTAACAAAGTTGGAAATTAGCACTTAAAAGTATAATTAAATCTCGCGCACTCAAACTTCAAAACAAGCTAATAATCTACAGCAAGATAATACCTAGTATGCATATATATATTACCTTTCTTTCGTGTCATCATTAGAATACAAAACATACTATCAGAAATCAGAAAATACTCAAAGAGCACCTCAGGTATAAAATAATATTTCAGAAAAATTAACCATGCTGAAGTTTCTCTACAATCATGCTACAAAAAAGAAACTTCAGATTGTTCAGCTCTTAGAAATAACAATCTACATTATAGTAGTAACATGGGTATAAGTTGTTCTAGCGGTAATGAGAAACTAATATTAACTTATAGGACATAGATTAACACAATAAACTCAATGGTTTACTACCAATAATCCACAGGAAATGAGTCGATAAACTAGTATAGCAACACACCTGAGTAACATCTTCCGTATGAGATTCCTCCAAGCACGCAACCTGACGCTTGGTCCTCCAATCCCAAAAGAGTATCTATACAAAGATAATTACAATGCAATGTCATTTGCCACATATCTCATACAACTAAATAGAGCCAAGTAATTTCATGTGCCTTAATTAAAAGAATAAGCCAAATCGCATCTCTTGTGTAAACATGAGAGTTCTTAAGGAATTATATCAAAGTGGAATTCTTTTTGTAGTTTCAAACAATTTGAAGGATGAAGCAAGTAGTAAATAGTTCATGACAGACCAGCAATCACTGTCCTTCCCTTGAACCATATATAGTTAAAACACTTCATTTCTCAAATATACACCATGCACAGAAACACCAAGTTCATAAACACTGCTGCTTTTGTGAGGCACAGAGGGCATCCACGAACGAAGGATTCTACTAAATTTACCACTGCTAATTTGCAGCCACGAGGTTTCGTACCTGAGAATTACACCCGGCAGCAAGCAGATTATGATTAGGTCCACCAAAGGAGAAACTAAATATCTCTTGAGAAGGGCCAGCATTTAGGGAAAACACCTGCATTCAATCTTATTTGAAATCAAAAACAATATACTAACTCAACTCCTAAAAAAAGCACATTAAAGTTAAAAACTGGAACCTGCTGAAAAGACCTGGTATCCCAAGCTCTGAGAGTTCCATCAGAAGAACAAGAATGCAGCACATGTGGCGATGAAGGATCCGAAAAGGAAATTTGATTAATCGTTGAAGAATGACCATTACATTCCCCAATGTACTGTGCAGTAGCTAAAGAGTACAACTTAATCGCATTAGTTGAGAGTGATACCGCCATTGATGTCCAATCATTCCTATAATAAACACGAACATTCAGTGAGAATTTTAGGACCAAAATTTACTACTAATACAGAAAAAACAATGAAGAAAGTGAAAGGAAAAACTGAAGAGAATTACTTGGGAACAATTTGGAAAACGTAATCGTCGGCGAAGTTAGTCTGAATAGAGTTTTTGATACCAAATCGCTTAGAATCGTTGCATATTGGAAGCAACTGCGATTGTCCCTCTATTTCCATCTCCTCTGCGCCATCCATTTTCTTCTTCTTCTTCTTCTCTCTCTGTCAACAGTGAAGAAAACTCCGGCTCGCAGGGTTTAGGGTTTGTACATTATTCCATAACTTTTTTTTTTAATTTAACCGTTATTTCAATTAATAAACACTAAACATTTTATGCACAAATTCATCACTAAAATTATATGACCCTCGAAAAATAAAAAATAAAATATTTTTTTACACAGATTTTCTAAAATTAAGGTGGTGGAATTTGTCAATTTATATTGAATTTATATCGAAAAGTCATTTACATGCTTAAATTATTATGATGATTTATTACATATTTTTACTATTTAAAAGTGAATTTAATAACCCTCAAAATTGAGGTGGCAAAATAATTTTTAAAAACAAGATTAAAATATGCGTGTCAAATTTATCAAAGTACGCAAAAAATTAAAATTGTGGTATACCCACCCCCACCTTCCACATCTCTTCTTCTTTCCAACCCACCTCCTTCGACCCAATTCTCTTGAGGAAACATATTGTTCTCCTCTTTCTTTTTTAAAAAAAACCTTTCTTCTTTCTTCAACTTCTTCTTAGCTTACTAGCAAATTACTTATCATCAATCTAAGTTTTGTGGGTTTTAATTTGTGCTTGTTAACAAAAGATTTTTTCATGTCATTAGCAAGATAAAATTTTGGGAATTTCGTAGCCACTGCAGCTATGACGGGCTTTTTCGAAAGAACGAGAGTATTTTTCACTCCACAAATTAACTCCATATTTCGATTTAGTATTCTTGGCTTATTAAAAATTTCATCTTTTTGTAATTTACTATAAAGAAAATATAATCATTAGAAAACTTTAATTATTAATTGAAGATTAATTAGTGTAAAATATACAAAAGATTGTTTAATTAAAAATAAAAAAAATATTTTTTTTTTAAATTTCTAACGTGGCACTGATACGGCGCTAACGTGGCACTGACACGGCGCTAACATGGCAGCGAGTGAAATACACCACATATTGTGAGAGTGGTACTACAGGTGTCGAGGGATAAATAAATTCACTTTTAAATTGTAACAGTGTGTAATAGATCATCATAATAATTTAAGTGGAGAAAATCTATGCCTATTTTTCATCTTACATGCATATAATATAATAGTTATACAAGCTTTTAATTGATGAAATGCAAATAAATATGAACGAGAGGCAGACTAATGAACTTGTTAATTGTATTTTTTTTCTAACCGAGATAGAGGAAAATAGAAAGATAATAGAGTTTTAATCAATGATGTGAACCTGTGCTAGCTTACTCAACAGAGCTTATGTTTGCTAAGACTTATAAACATATATTAAGCACTGGTACATTCATATGTCAAACCTCTGAACCTAATAATTAAAGCAATTTGAAAATAAGCAGACTGCTTGTTCCAGGCTAATTTCTTCCACCTAGTTTAATACTTGCGGATAATGAAACTGAGAAATGAATTGTACATGCAGTAGGATCATTCATCA